CACAAGTTGGGGGCGCCGACGGCGCGCGGGCCAGGGGGGAAACCCCCTGGTCCCTAACCCTAACGAAAGAAAGAGAGAGAGAGAGAGAGAGAGAGAGAGAGAGAGAGAGGGGGCGCTCGCGCGCAGGAGGGAGCGACTGCTTTCTCCTTGACTGTGTGGAAGAAGAGAGAGAGAGCGAGAGAGACAGAGAGGTAAGAAAGCTGCGGTATTGCGGCAATCGCTTGCCAAGGCGTGGCTGCTGTGCCAACCAGGCTCCGAGCCCATTCCCCAGCATGACCGTGGGTATGATGGAACTACACTAAGCTGTTCGCAAAGTTCGTGCAGTAGCGCATGCCCGTGCCAAGCAGGAAGTTGCATGGTCATCATACACACAAATGAACTCGTAGGTTCGCAAGAGGAATGGACGCATTCGCAGACATGAGCAAATTTTACAGGCAGCAGTCTACCATCTTCGCGACTGTTTCTTTTCTAGATGCAGCCGCTTGCCAAACTACTGTCCATGACTACGGCAAGGATGCAGACTTCACTTGACTCTCATGGCCTAGACTATGCCAGTGGTGGACATACTGATGCTGAAGCTGTCATGGTCACCGTTATGACCATGGCATGACCTGAAGTGGAGTCGATGGTGGCCACGGGTCTCAACATGATGACTGCAATGACAATTAGAATAATGCGGACTGCAATGACAAAGCCGCACCCCAGAGGCGGAGGGAGGGAAACATGACAATGCGGACGATGTGCTGTTGATGGTACCTACATGAGCATCTTGCAGGCACTGAGCGCCTCACTGCTTTGTTGTCCACTTGAGGTCGATCCTCGAGAGCCGGAACGGCCTCGGAGAGTCTCCCCTGTGCCTGGCTACGCTGGCGACCTCAGACACTGAGAACATGCGAGAGCGTCGAAAGCTTTCGATCTAGACATGAGACTCTTGCAAGTCATGTCACCTCTACAGACTTGCGGAGGATGGGACATCAAGCTCTTTTGGGAAAGTTGCCACATCTTGCTTGGGATCACACACCTGTTGCCTCTTCTCATCCCCACTGCAGGCGCCTTTGCCGCGGATGTGTGGCGATGCGCCTCGTTGAGGTGCGGGGCCTTGCAAGCCAACTGATGTCGTAAACTCATGTCACGATTGGTCTGCTCGGGAAGCGAAACTGCTGCGGAACAAAGTGACGAAGATGGGCAGGATTCCAAGTGCATCAGCTCACCAAGGCCCTTGCCGACCCTGGCGCGTGCGATGACAAAGGCGGGCCTGGAATTGTCGGCCTACACATAGGGTGGGTGTGAGTGAGCAGCACCCTGCTACAGGAAAAGGGTTCGTGCTGAGACGGCGACTGTGGCTGCGGTATGGGTATCGTTGCGGGTACGTCGGCTGGAAACTCCATCAATCGAGGCCTGTTGGCGCTGTTTCTCTTCCACTCGTTCGGGCTGGCGTCGGTATATTTTTCAAGTCCTAGCTCGCAATCGAATAGTAGTGGCAACAACGACAAAGAAGAAGACGATGAAGACGTGCTGTTTGAGCTGTGCAAGCTGCATGTTGCTGTGGACGACGGTCTCGGGCATCAGGCGAGAAGTTTCCAACGACGGATTCCGATACTGTTTCACATCTTGCGTGCGAGAATACCAACTCTGGGGGCTCCTTTTCAACAGAAGCACCCAAACCGAAGTTTCGCCAGCACCCACACAACAAGGCGATTCCGCCGAAGCCATGGATCTGGACGGTGCCTGCACTCAGCAAAGCCTCATGTCCTGAACGCTGTCTTCGACCCCGGTGGAGAAAGCGGAGGTTTTTCAGTGAGGAAGCTCTCGGCGGCCTTCAAGCAGCTTGAGTTTGTCGGGTTCTGGAGTTTGGTCCTAAACTCAGGGCTTCTCCGAGAAGCAGAGCGAGATGAGCTGTGCCGGCAAGCGGCCAAGGAGGCAGGACCTTATGAGATGCTCAGCTTTTGAAGGCGTTGCGGCGTTGCGATGCCTCAGGATCGCCTCCTGGCCGCCGTCGCAGAGGCTCGCCGCAAGCGCGAGGAGCTTGATTGGTGGGTCGCCCAAAGTCTGACATTTGCATCAAAGCTTCGGCTTCAAAGGGTATGTTGAGGCTTTATGATGAGTCATGTTGAAGTTGATGGAAGACTGGTGGAACATGCCCCTTGCATCCCACTAACTTGCCCTGTGCATCTGTGAAGATCCAGCATGGGCCCCGAGGAAACAGAAGCGCTAGCCGGAAATGATACGCGCGTCTATATAAATCACTTGCACATGTCTCCAGGCCAAGCGCAAGCTCCTGCTGCCAAGGCGACGCCAGCTCTTCGAGACGATGGGCCAGGTCAGTTTCTCCGAGATTTTTGGATCCTCTTCGACTTTAGACATGATCGCCTCGTGATTGCGTTCGATCCCCGGGCCAAGCTCCAGCCGTGGAGGAAGACGACGACTACTGCCGCTTCGAGAGCCATCAAGACTTGGAAAGTGATGTCCTCAGCAAAGTGGCTGTTGGGACACGGTTCAGCATTCAGGGCAATCTGAGCAAGATGTGGAGCCCCGGGTTCTTTGCTCTGCAGGCTCCGATACCGGCCCCTGCCTCAGTAGACCTTGACTTGTTTTCTTCCGCGCTCACTTGCTTGTGCCTAAACAGTTTTCGTTTGCAAATGCTTGACTTATCGGCTGCAGACGTCACTTACTCTTCAAGGATGCTATGGACATTTGCAGGTCGGCCAGACAGCTGGATGGATGACATTGCAGCCCAGGCACACGACACTTTAAGGTTTGGGGTTGCAGGCTTTCGAAGTTTCGGGCTTTTTTTCGGGGTGCACAGTTTACCTGTGACAGCTGAAGTGATGAAAGGATCTTCAAGACCGGGGCACGGAGGCCAAAAGCCAAGAATGGGAGAATCGCCCGAAAATTGAGCCATGGCCATATCGAGAAGCTTGTGGCAGCATGTACATGGATACTTCTGGGCTTGCAGTCAACATCCGGCTGCGGAGAGGAACCCTTCCAAATAGGGTGTATGGTTTTACAGCTTGAAACCTTTGCAGAGCATGCATGGGAACTGATCAAAGCTCTCATACCATGACGCTCTATATTGACTCGATATGTGTTTTTGAATATACTTATACATACATATGTATGTGTATATATATATAATAGGTATGTATATGTATTTGTGTGTATATGTATATATGCAGACATGAAGCCCTATGGCCCTTGAAATGTTGCACGGCGAGGCCGAAGCTCGCACAGCTGGTGCTCCTAGCATGCGCGGTGCTGAGGGGTCAGACAACCTGAAGCTCTTACCCCAAGTAAGATACGAGACAACCTGAGTTCCCTGTGTCTGGGGACTTCATTCCTCTGGAGGGGCCGGATCATCGCTGGTAGCCCCATCGCGACGAAGGTTGCTATGACGATGCGATTGTCACGACGATATGTCATGTCTCAGCTGGCTCTCATGCGCTAACTCCAAGATACACACAGAAACAGAGAGAGTGTGTGTGTGCGTGTGTGTTGAGAGAGGTTGTTTGCGTTTTGCTTGCTACTCTTTGCAATCTATTTCCCGGAGACAGAGTGAACTTCGGGGACAGCTCATACCCAGCTCTCGGAACGAAAACATAACCCGCAGCAGCAAGGGACAGAAACCCAGATGCATGACTTCAGATGTCATGCGAAAAGAAGCAGAAGCAAGTCTTCGCAAGCAAAAAATCGGCGGCAAGAAGATGCTTCAAGAGTCGTGCCGGTAGCGATGATACTCAGCCTTACTCCCTGTTCATGAATTACATGCCCCCGATTTCTGCATTTAGATGTGTGAATTCTGATCCCTTCCTTTGGTGAGCCGAGGTCTCAGATCTTGGCCCAACAGGCAGAGGCGGCCCGGCCTCTCCCCGAGCCGAAGCCGAAGCCGCAGTCGGATCCCGAGCCGCCTCCTTCAGGCCCGGCCGGTGGGTGCCGGGTTCTCTCTGGAGATGGGAGTGTCTCCGAAAACAAGGGGGTGTACCCTTTTTTTGGGGTCCCTTAGAATAGGGATCCTACTATTTAAGGTACTATAGATGTCTTTCTTTCTTGAGGGTTTTTTGGGGGTTTTCCTTCGGGGTTTCTTCAGATACAGGCCTTAGTAGTTAGAACAGGGTTCGGAGGGGGTGACGAGTCTTATTCTACTTATCCCAGGGGTGTTTACATGAGTTGAAAAGCAGAACAGCTTCGTTTTCAAATTCCAAACCCTACGCCCGAGTTTTGTATTACATCCGGCAGACAAGGGTGTCGAGTATCCAGAATGCAGCACAAGTTTGATGGGCATGACCAAAACTGCTGAGACCAGATGTCTCGCGCTGGAGTTGTGGCAACCTAGCATAGTAACATATTAGGTCATAGGGGACTTCCGGGCGTCGCATCTTCAGACCCAGACCTTCGTCAGGCAAACGTCCGCGGAGCGCGGGGTCGTCGGAGCAAGCCGAAGGCTGCTGGGGTCTTTCCCAACACAACCCGGGAGCTTGTAGAAAAGGCAAAAGTAGCAATGTGGGCACCACCACACGTCTTTGCTCGGTAAGAACAGTCCGCTCAAGGAAATCATGAATATAGTAAGCCTTTTCTGTCCCGAGGGGTTGCAGATTGTAGAGTTCCAGATGGATTCTGACTTAATAAAGGGTGTTCGCTACTTTCAACCTCCAACTTCCACTGACTTGTCCAATCGCGAGTGCCGAAACCCCCGGCCTCGGCGATTCTAGATGTCACAGCGTCAGAAGAGAGCGGCCATTTTGTTTAATGGTGGGACCCCATTGTAAACGGCCCGGGCCCGTATGTACCATACTTTAATCTTAAATTTAAATGTATGGCGACTCTCATGTTGCTGCCGTATCGCAGGCTCGCAGCCGACCGCGCCAGAAGATCCTGAGGCCAGGAGTTTTCACAGAGCAACACCAAGAATCTGGGAATCCTCAGAAGAGTATCATGCAATGTCTGTGGGCTTGAGGCATTGAGCTTTTGAGCTCCAGTGTGCGAGGCTTTTGACATTGCAGCTCTAGGAAAGGTCGGAAGGGGTTGCTGAGCTGGTTCAGGGCTTAGTGACTTAGTGCCTTGGGTTTTTTTCTGCACTCGCTTTCCTTCGCAATGTTGTGTTGTTCAACATCGGCACCAATTGCAAGAGTTATTGTCATTTATTGTCAGCGGAACGGTAAAGACATAACTCTTGTCATCAGTGAATGTTCAAGTTAGTGCAGAAGAAAGTCCTGCAGCTGAGACTGCGGGCATTCTTGCACAGGCAGCCGCTGAAGCACGTTTGGAGGCTCGACGGCAAGATGAGGCGAAATGGCTTCTGTGTGGAGTCAGCTGGTTTCGCTTCGTTACGGTGTGTGAGTGTGTGTGTGTGTGTATATATATATATATATGTGAGCGTAGGGGCCCCGTTTTTCAAGTCAAGCCCTTGTCTGCCCGAAGGCGAAGTGGAAGCAGCTGGAGGCCAACGGCTTTCAGGTTGACATTCACCTGTTTCCGTGCCCTTTAGTCCTTGTGTTGCCAAGAAGCCAAGGATCCAAACAAATAAAGACCTAAGGACTCCAAGCTCTGAAGCGCCAAACCTGCCTCGCCGTTCCAAGCCCTGAAGTGCAAATCCCAAGCTCAAGGCCTCGACTTTAGCGCCCAGCCTTCGATAGAAAGAAGCATCGGCACAGCATGACTATCACTCTCGCTATCAGCGACTGTAAACTTTAGTCTTATACTATGCATGAGACTATGCCACTCTGTGTCATGATGTATGTGACCATATGTTTGTACGTAGGTACAAACACACACATGTATATGTACATACGGATGTATGCATCTGTATACATACATACATGCATACATTCACACATGACTAGATAGATATATATATATAGATACATACATACATAGATACATACTTCTATGTGTATACATGCACTTCTCTCTCTGTAGATGCATAGATAGATGCTTTTTTTGCAGGCCAAGGTCGCTGCAGTGAGCGACAACGAGCCTCCGCTTCGGCTTTGGGAGGCGCTTTGCGCTTCGGGTGGGCTTTTAACATAAAATAGGCTCTGAAATGTTGCCTGGGTTTTTTTTCGGAGTTTCGAGTGATCGCTGCCGAAATTTCTGGCTTTGGCCCAGCCTAGCAGCTGGCGTCCACCAGAAAACCTGACGACTTCTCCCAAGCAGATGTGAAGATGATAGCAAGGTACTTGGAATGGGTTTTGCTGCGGTACAAGGCATGGTGGCATGGTAAAAGTAGTGCAACCTTTCAAAAACTTTCGGGGCCCGGCACTCGAAGGTCAGCTCAACGGAGGCAAATGTTCGCAGTCTCCTGGTGCTGTGTGAGATGTACAATGACCCTGCCTTGGACCACACCCGCTCATGCCAAACATAGCCGAATTGCAAGACAGCTTTCGAGCTCCGCATACGTAGATAAATCCGACAGTAAACAGGCAGTAAGGAACAAAGCTATGCAGGCAAGCAAGTAAAGGAATTGAATGTGCCGACATGCCTGCAAACCAAAACACATGCACCTGTGCGTATATCACATACAGGTAGATATGTTATTTATCTTTGTTCCCTTTGTCTTATCAGCTGTAGTGTGAGAGGAGGCTTCGCAAGAACTTGCAAGCACACGCGATTGCTCCGACACGAGGTGTCATGTAGAGCCCAATATTGCATATCGAAGATAAATCCTGGTACTGCGGGCCATTACGGGTCCATGGTCCATGCAATGAGGCCTTTTCGCAGCCTCCAGCTGCCCTAAACAGAACCGGAACTGCTTTGTGGAGCTTTGACGGAATGAAGCCTTGCAGCTCGAAGCCTCTGAAGGCAGAGTTACCCTGGCCCTCGGGTACGGCCGAAAATCCACTCAATGTCGATGCCTCCGGGCATCCGAAAGTGGCACCGGCCCCTGTAAGGAGAAATGCAGGGGAGCTTTGTTGTTGTTGTGGTGAGGGGAGAAGGGGGCGGCATCCAAGACAATCCTGCTTGGTGGCATTTGCTATGAGGGCGTTCAATTTGCTGCTTGTTGTTGTCAGTGTCAGCGTTCTTTCTTCCTGCCCTTGTTTAGACTTTCATGTCTGGTTCCAGTGGGAAAGCTTGTCGGGGTTCAGGGTAGGCTTTGGGAATCAAGGGGTTGCGGTGCAAATGAAGCTCGACCATGATCGAATGATGCTTCAATGGGCATTTTCCGTGAGGTCGGTTGCAGATTCAGCGGCTACCCGGTGCAGGGTTTGCAGGAAAGGATGTATGTATTCCTTGAAACCCCGCTCTCTCTGGATGCGGGGACATGACTTGTGCAACGAAGTCCTTGAATCAGCCGCAAACAGTGGTGTGTGCGACATGCGGGCTCAGCGCAGGTTTTGGGGCTCGGACAGATGATAAGATTAGATATACATCCATGCTCGTGTGTGAGTCAAAGGTTCTGTGAGGTCTCCGGGTGCGTGTGTGTACGTACACGTACGTACGTGTTTGCTTTGCCGAGCTGGGGCATGGCGCTCGTCGCCTCTGGCGCTGAGGGCCGAGGGTGGACGGAGAAAAATACTGAGCGTCAGTACCCTCACTACAGTCACTACAGCAGCCCAAGAAAATCCATGTTCTTCTCACATCCATGACGAATGCTGGCATCAGGCTTGTTACAAGAACAAACCCTACGCCGTACGCGCCCAGGTTCGGTCGCAACTCCGAGCAGGCCTGCTGAGGCGCGAGCCTCCCGAGACCCTCAACCCGAAGAAGCATAAGACTCATAAGACCATGAGAAACGGGAAGCCTGGGTCGGATCAGCTCAAGGCTTTCTAAGGAACACTTCCCTTACGGAGGCTGCCGAGAAGCCCGAGCGAACTATCGAACCCTGAAACCAAGCAGAACTCTCAAAACTCAAAGAAACCCAGAGAGCGCACAGTTTAATGTAGCGAAAGACCGCACCCAACGAACTGTCATCGCGTTTGACGAAGATTCCCAGACCAGGCTTCAGATTCTGATAGCTTCAGACTTCATTCAGACCCTCCGCAGCTGGCATAAACGCCATCTCACCACTGCAAAACGTGTAAGACTCCGTAGTCTGTAAAGCCATGGCGTCAGAACATCCACGGACAACTCGCAGAAATCCATAAAGCCTTGTAGATTCCCTGGCAACTTCCGCGTCCTATGCAGCCACATACATCCCTTTCAACTTCCGCAAAGCACCCAGCAATGCAGAGCACGGCGGGGGTCCGGAAAAGTGCTCAAAACCCAGAACCGTCCCAACAGCAGAAAATTGGGGACTCTTGTAAAGCCACACAGTTCAAGGTACCACAATCGGGAAAGTGTTGAGCTCATGGCAGATTCCTGCCTGGCTGCTCAGAGAACATTCCCTGACAAGAACAAAGACTTGTGACAGGTGGCATCCCGACAAGTTCGAGCAGCGCTTCGGAAGGCCTCGGCTTGTCTCTAAAGGTTTAAGGCCCCAGGGCGGAAACCTTATTATTCAAACCACTCAGGCTCAGAACCTCGCCATTTGAGAGCTTGTGATTTTTCGTTGGCAACGGCACGCAGTCCTCCGAACCAGTCCACTTCGAAGAAAGAGGCTTCGTCAGAAGACAATTGTGCGGTTGTGCTTTGCTTCCGGTGTTCTGCACCATCAGGCGTCTTTGAACCTAGTTATGCGTGGCATGTTCCAGATTGCCGTTGCTTACAACATGTCCTGTCATGCTACTACAAATCCCCGGACCATGATCGTCAGCATCGGCATCACGACAAGAACCCCATGAGAGCCGGCGTGACGCCGTGCCCGCCATCCCAGCATTGAGCCCCTTGTCAATGCTCATGCTGGTCATGTCAGACCCATTGTTTCTCGTAGAGCGATGTAGACTTGCGCTTGCAGCTTGATTTCACGAAGAGTATGATTTGACAGACAGCCGGAACTGGTTGTCAGGTTTCTGCCTGTGGACGAGAAGGCAGGGCATAGACAGAACGGGTCCAGTGGTTTTTGGGCTTCAGAAGTCTGGGCTTGGGGTTTGGGTATTTCGGGTGGACAAAGCACATGCAGGATCTGCAGCATGTTCTTTTTTCGAGGCCTAGACCAGAATCCTTAGCTGGCTGCTTCTCGGGGTCGTCTTGCCAAGCCGTGCTCCCAAGGCGGTGACAGGTTAAGTCTTTCTGTGCCGCTTGAGCCTTGAAGGCCTGAATCCCACCAACCACCAAAGCTTTCACCCCAAATCAGCGCTCGCTGTGAGCTTTGATCTCTGCACTGCGACAGGGGAATTTCTGTTGAAAAAGCAGTGCTCGCAGGTGCGCTCTTCCATCTTCGGCCGTGTAAAGGCAAGCTCAGCTGCGAGTCTCTTTTTTGGAGTTCAGGGGTCAGGGTCATTGACACACCTAGGAAGGCCCACAGTCTACTTGGAAATTCACTGGTAACGCTGTCAGGGGTAAAACGTACAGTTGCCTCAACAATAGCTGTGTTTTTTCATGAGGTTTTTGGCAGGGTACGAGTAGCTTGAACCATCACGTAGGATAAGCTTCCTGCGGAGCACCCCAATCCTGCAATGTTGCGACATGCTTCTGCGCTTGCTCATTCGGCTTCATGAATTTGACCCCCTGTTCAGCCTACATGCCTGTGCCCCGTGCCGTGCCGCTCAGGCGCTTGCACAGCAGCTGACGCGTCTCATGGTGCCATGCTTAGCCGAACCGGCTTGCGCCTGACCACAAAAGACTGTCTACGATTATAGCCCACGGTCCTCCTCCTCCTCTAACTCCAACTACTGCAGCTCCTACTCCTGCTGCTACTGCCGCTGCTGTTGCTGCTAGCTGCTGCTGCTACCACTACCACTACCTACCACTACTACTACTACTA